TCACTGTTATGATGCTCTGTATGCTTTTAAAACTATAACTGCCCATTCTGAGCTTTTGCAGTTTCTAGACACCTGCTCTTTTCCTGTTTTATCGTAGACTGACCAGAGAGAACTGGAGATGCCAATTACTGTTGAGGAGTTGTCTGAAGCTTTGGCAGGCACCCCCAGTAATAGATCTCCAGGTTCAGACAGATTGCCATTCGAAATCTATAATAGATATGGTGTGCAACTCCTCCCAGCATTACTCAATGCCCTGGATGCCACCATGGATGGAAATGGTTTGCCCCCCTCCATGAATTAAGCTGTTATTATGGTATTATTGAAGCCTGGAAAAAATCAATTAAAACCTGACTCCTACCGACCTATTTCCCTTCTGAAAACTGATGCTAAATTGTTGGCCTGGGTTCTAGCTACTAGACTGGTGCGGATTATTGGTAATATCGTACATAAAGATCAGTCGGGGGTTTAGTCCTAGAGCGACTGCTAATAGTATTCGTAGACTTTTTTTGGATTTGCAAATTCCAGTGGACAATCCTGGGGGGAGGGCAATTTTGTCTCTGGATGTGGCCAAGGGATTTGATAGCGTGGAATGGCCTTATCTATGGGAAGTATTGTCTAGATTCTGCTTTGGTCCCAAGCTGGGTCAGCCTTCTCTATGCGGCCCCTAGTGCCCAAATCCAGGTTAACGGGGATTTCTCAGATTAATTCAGACTGTAGAGGGGAACAAGGCAGGGCTGTCCTCTCTTGCCCCTTTTGTTCGCTTTGGCATTAGAACCTTTAGCGATTTTGGTGCGACAATCTCTGACATCGTCAATTTTATAAGGGGTGTTCTTTCGGAAAAGATATTCCTTTATGTGAATGACACACTGTTATATTTGGGCAATACCTCCATATCCTTAGATGCTGTTATGTCCCTTATTGAACGCTTTGGTGGATTTTCCGGCTTTAAAATTAATTGGCATAAATTGGTGTTGATGCCCGTGGATCCTGTAGAACTCCCCCTCCCGACCTGTGCACAACACATCCAAGTAGTGTCTACATTTAAGTATTTGGGGGTGGTAGTCTCTCCTGATCCTAAACAGTATATTTCTCTTACCCTTTTACCTCTACTCCATCAGCAGAAATTGAAGTGTAACAGTTGGTGCAAACGTCCTCTGTCGGTGGTGGGTAGGGTCAATTTTATTAAAATGATTTGGGCCCCGCATCCTCTATATATTTTTCATAATTCTCCCATATGGATTCCTAAGAAATGGTTTCATCACATAGAGACTCAGTTTAGGAGTCTTATTTGGAAAAAACAAATGTCTAGGATAAAATTGTCCACGTTGCAATATGGCAAGGAGTTGGGGGGGGGGGGGGGGGGTTGGGGGTTCCTGAGCCCAGACTTTATTTTCTGGTGGCCCAATTGCAGCAACTGGTTGGCTGGGACTCGCCTGATAATACTGATCCCATTATTAGTTTGATTTCCCTTCCTGATCCCACCATTTTGGCTCTTTCTCATCTTGAGATGGCTCTACCGGTCCTTCCATCCACGGTCCAACTGCAGACCTCTTGAGGCACGTCTGGAGTACGGTAAAAGCGTCCTTTCATATTACCAGCTTTCTTTCCTGTACTCCCTTGTGGAATAATCCGCAATATGTAGAACTGGCTAAACTGGAGTATTTTCATGACTGGAGGGATCAAGCCCTGAAATTTGTATCTCAGCTGTATTTGGGGGCAATCCTAAAGTCCTTTTCTCAACTGCAAATAGAATTTACATTTACACATAAGCATTTTTATTGTTATCTTCAGCTACGCCATACGATGCAGGTTCAGTCTTCGTTCTCTAATCTCACATTGACAGACTCAGTTTTTCTTAAGGATATCACTCAGACAACCCATAAGAAGGGCATGATTTCTCGGGTATACTCCCAGCTATTGCCCACAGTACAGGATCAAGCTAGTCTCTGGAGCAGGGGGCAGTGGTCCTGGTATATTGTAGAGTTTGCTAGAGATGTCTAGGATGCTGCCCTGGTATCTGTTCCTGAAATTTCTCTTTCTCCCTCTCATAAATTGTCTCAATTGTTTATTCTCCATCAAACGTATAGGACCCCTGTGCAACTGTATCGGTGCGGCATTCACCTGATTGTCCGAGGTGTGTCCAACAGGGTGATTTTATTCATATGCTCTGGTGTTGCCCCAAGTTACATAGAAATTGGAGTCAGGTTCTCCAATGTATTTCTCTAGTATCTCAATATGCTGTTCCCCAGGATCCCTTGCATTGTCTGTTGGGGGCACTGGACCAAGAACTGTTCCAACCAGGAGGGTATATTATGGTATCTAGACTTTTATATCTGCCTAGTAAGTTGATTGCAAGGTACTGGTTATTGTTGGCTCCTCCAACTAGTAAGCAATGGATAGATTATGTTAAATTCTTTAGTCCCAGGGAGAAACTCATATACCAACATTGCAATGCTTATCATAAGTTCCAGCAGGTATGGCAAGGTTGGCTGGGTACACCTGGTATTGAAAAAATTGATAGTGGAGCGACTTTGCAGGTATGAGATTTTATATAAGGTGCGTGGCTCCAATCCTCCCCCTGGGGGAGTTCATGTGCATCTCCCATTCTTTTTGATGAGATATCTTGGGTGAACCAGAGGTTGTTGTTGATGTGTTTTTTTTTTATTGTTTGACGACATGTTTTGGTCTTTGTTCCTTTCCCCCATTTCTGTTTACATCTGGTTGGGAAGGAATAAGACGTAAAAAGGAAAAAGCAAGATATTGTCAAGAAATTTTTGGATCCCTGTTATTCTGTTTATTACAGGATCTGCGTATCCACGTTGTTCTATTTATGTGTAATCCTGCTCTTGCAGTAATGTCATTGTGGATTCTGTAAGTACTGTTCCATTTTCTTTATTATCTTGACAATAAAAGTTGTTTGGATTAAAAAAAAATGTCTTACTGCGCCTGAGCATCTCATCACCATACTGTGCTTGAAGTGTTCTGTAGATATTCGCGGGTTTTATGCTTTTGTTCACAAGAAACCTTACCACCACACACGCTGTTCCTTGCATGCACTAACACTGTTGTCCGCGATCTTGATAAATGGTTTCTGGACTGGCCTGCGACATGTGCGCCACCTATCAATAATAGGACACACTTGCCACTTACTACTGCGTGCAGTACCGCCCTGCTAGAATCCATTTTTATACCTGTAAAATTAAAAGTCCCGGTTTGACTTAAACGCCCCTCATATACATTTATTATGCCATAAAAGGGGAACCATGCTGGTGATGCTTTTTTTTTTTAAAGTATGTATATATGAGAAAATAGCCATAAAAAATAATTGCTTTATTGGTCTTTGTACAAGCCAACGTTAGCTCTATAGCACAATAAATATGTGTTTGATATCTAATATCTGAGATGGAACACTTTGGCATACAGGAGAACTGTGCATATAATGTATGTATCTTTTTTTTTTTGTTTACAATTAAACTTCTATTTTTGTTAGATTTGGCTAGCTTTGAAGGAGGGCAAGTCTACTGAAGAGCAAACCATGCTCTGCTGAAAAGCTGTAGACAGCCTTATCTGCCCAAGTAACAGGACCTCTAAATTACAAAACTGCTTTCATTAAGACCATGTCACACTAGCAATTCTATCTGTGGCAATTTACTGGCAGTGACAAAATCACTTGAATGATATGCAGCAAGTAAACAAAGTAAAAATCGCTAAGGGTTTCTAAGAGACCTATTGTCTTCTCCTATGGTGTCACACTCTTGCTGGCTGGTCCAGCTAGACATTGCTATGATGCTGCCCGAAGCCAGTAGCAATCAATTTTCTGTAACATCTGTTCAGATGTTAAGCTCAAAGTCTTTACATAAATGTGCCTGCATAGCACCATGGCATACCATAAGGGCGTGTCTATGCCTGATTTTTTTTGTTTTTTGTAACTTCCCAGGATTTGAACTTTGTGAGGCTTGTCATGTATGTTGGGTCCTACTTATTTATCTGAGGGCACAATATCTGAGGGCATTAGTTCTTGTTGTCATCATATGGCACCAATTTATTAATATACAACTCAAGACAGTTTCACTTTCTATTTTTTTAGATATTATAATATTTCATATTCTGTTTGGCAGGTACATAAGACTGTACCCAGCATGAATATTATAAACTACAAATCAGATGTACATCTGGATAAGTGCGCCATACTGTGTTTGCACAAATGCAAATAAATGTTTCATTTTCTCCCCACAGTTTGCTTCTGTGACATAAAAATGCAGGGCCGTGATAGAGAGACAGGAATGTACAGGGCTTCATGAGCACGTCTACAATCTTCCTGTCACACTGGTGGATTACTCAACCTAAGTATCACGTAAAAGTTGTTCTTCAACTAGCCCTACCTCCCACAGTCTCTCTGCATTACATACATTCCGTCCCAACTTTGAGTTCAGCCCATGTAATGAGGAACTGAAACAGGAGCAACAACAGTTAGTGTACTTAACTCCTTGCTGGCCCTCAGTTTCTCTACAGTTGCTAAGGTACAATTCAAAAGAAGATCACTTAACAAGCTGTTAGACACTATTTTTCAAATATAGAAAAGATGCCAAAATATTACAAAACCTAGCCACACAAAGCTCACAAAATATTTTACAAGGGGCTGTCAAGTCAAACCGGGTCTTTTGAGTTTATATAATAAAAGAACAAATTTCTAAGAGTGGAACGTTTTTTTCAACATACTCCCCTGCTACATTTATACACTTATCCCAGCTTTTACCGTATTTTTCGCTCCATAAGACGCACCTAGATTTTAGAGGAGGAAAACAAGAAAAAAAATATTCTGAACCAATGGACTGCAGACGTAGTACAGGAAATGATGAAAGACTGCAGATATAGTACAGGAGATGACCAGAGACTGCAGACATACTGCAATAGATGACCGAAGACTTCGGACATAGTACAGGAGATGACCAGAGACTGCAGACATACTACAGATAACCAGAGACTGCGGACATACTATAGGAGATGACCAGATACTGCAGATATACTACAGGAGATGACCAGAGGCTGCGGACATAGTACAGGAGATGACCAGAGACTGCGGACATAGTACAGGAGATGACCAGAGACTGCGGACATAGTACAGAAGATAACCAGAGACTACAGACCTTTGGGGAGCTGTGGGGGGCACACAAATTTGACAGGTACCCACTCCAACTTCTGTGGAGTTGTCCTCCCCCCTCCCTTCTTGTGGGACATGTAACAGGTCCCAGAAGACTACAGGTGGCCATTCACAAAGCGCAGCGCTTCTCGTGCATGTGCAGTGGGCACCCGGCTGTAATGCTGCAAGCTGTCACAGCCGGGTGCCCACACTGAAGATGCGGCATATAGTACAGGAGATGACCAGAGACTGCGGACATAGTACAGGAGATGACCAGAGACTGTGTACATAGTACAGGAGATGACCAGAGACTGCGTACATAGTACAGGAGATGACCAGAGACTGCGGACATAGTACAGGAGATGACCAGAGACTGCGGACAGAGTATAGGGGATGACCAGAGACTGCGGACATACTACAGGAGATGGCCAGAGACTGCAGACATAGTGCAGCAGATGACCAGAGACTGCGGACGTAGTACAGAAGATAACCAGAGACTGCAGACCTTTGGGGAGTGGTGGGGGGCACACGAATTTGACATGTACCCATTCCCACTTCTGTGGAGTTGTCCTCCCCCCTCCCTTCTTGTGGGACATGTAACAGGTCCCAGAAGACTACAGGTGGCCATTCACAAAGCGCAGCGCTTCTCGTGCATGTGCAGTGGGCACCCGGCTGTAAAGCCGCAAGCTGTCACAGCCGGGTGCCTACACTGAAGATGCGGCATCGGGGAGAGAAGAGGACTGGTGAAAGCAGGACACCACTGGACCGAGGAAGAGATAGGACCAAGGAGCAGTTTCTTCTGCACAATAGAGCCGAGCGGCTGGCCCGGTATTCTAACACGACGGCAGTGGGAATACCGGTCTGGCTGCTCCATATTCACTCCATAAGACTCACAGACATTTTCTCTCATTTTTTTGGGGAAAAAAGTGCATCTTATGGAGCGGTAACTAATGCCTAAAAAGCTTTGTCAGTACGCCTGAATGACAGCCTGTTTGACTTCGTCATCATTTTGTTCACCGTTCCCACAGAAAGATTAATCTCTTGTGCAATTTCACAACAGGTTATGCATTGATTATCCAAGATCAGGGTTTCCACATGCTGAATGTTCACAGGAATGATTGCGGTGGGATGGGATTGTCACTGACAGACGCACAACCATCTTTGAAACGTTTACACCATTCAAATGTCTTACTGCGGCTGATGGTCTCATATCCAAACTGTGCTTTAAGTCTTTTGTGGATATCTGCGTTCATAAGAAACTTCATCACTACATGCTAGCACTGTTGTCTGTCTCTTGATTAATGGTTTCTAGACTGGCCTGGGACATGTGCGCTGCCTATCAGTAATAGGACATACTTGCTACTTACTACTGTGTATAGTATCTCCAAGCTAGCATCCCTTTTTATACCTGTAAAATTAAAAAAGTCCTAGTTTGACTTGATTGCCCCTTGTACATTTCAGCTGGCATAACTATCTGAAACTAGTCTATTTACTGAACTGCCATATGTCAGCTGAAGTTGTTATTTAGGCTTACAGTGGAAGTTCATTCTTATTAGACTCTGAGGAGGGGGAGGTAATTAGAAGGGCTTCAATAAAACAAAAATGCTTAGAGCAGGTATGTCAGGATAAGACCAAACATAGACAGGGGGTATAGCATTGGTACAAAGTCTGTAGAATAGCAGGCTGTGAACAGTGCAGTCACTTCCTTGTGCTATGAGCAATACAGAAAAACAGAGAGAGGGAATGTGAAAGTAAGCTATACGTCTTTAACAAATCCTCTGGCAGTTTCAACAGTTTGTATATAAAGTATAAGTAACTATAAGTTTGTATATAAATGATCCAGCAATGTACCTACCATAGCTGTTTAACTGTCAATGCTCATTCATTTATACATAGAACAGATATTTCCTGACCATATCGATCTGGCTGTAATTAAATTTGTACTTACTGGTTATGGAGGCCTAAACATGCCTGCTGATTACCCTCCCCTGAGCAGTGTGATCCTTTTTGTTCCCCTGAATCACAATCTCACATAAAAAAGTATTGCTCTGCTCATGTAGCCCCATGACAGCAAGGAAAGCCAGCCAACTTCTGAGTCACAATACTCAGATAGTCAGAGTTTACACAGGACTGATGTCCACTCTCCGCACATATTCCTCACAGGGTGGCTGATGTGTATGTGCTGGGAGTGCATGCACTGTGTGTGCTCAGTATGCAGACCAAACTGCCAAAGAGCTCAGTTCAAGGTAAAGATCAGTAACCAATCATGTGACCACTGTGACAGTGGTCACATGATCACCCATCCTTCCTCCCCCCAGGTATTCAGAACTATTTAAGGGGACGCTGGGGCAGACGGGAAGGGGCTAAGAATTTAGAAACCCTTTATTTTTATCATTTATTTTATTACATGCCTAAAATATTTTATTTTGCAAATAAACATTATGCTTACATGACTGTGCAGGCTTTCTAATAAGAAATCCTAGGAAAGGCTGCTTGCTTTTTTACTGCCTTTTTGTAATGCAATATTCATACAGGACATATGTGCAAACAGTGAGGTTTGTGTCTCTCTGACTAATTTGATTGTGTGTTTTGAATTTAGAGAATAAAACTACACAGGCTGTACACAGAATAGTTATAAATTACTCCAGAAATCTTGTACTGCAGAAGCCTTTAGCATGTCATTTGCTGTATGCAGGTGGTAAATATGAACTTTTCATATGCAATATTTAAAATTTACCTGATTAAAAACAAATAATACCTTGTTTTTTCCTGAACATAATATAGGAAATATACTGTCACACAAATTCTATACATTGCTTTTTAAATTGACTGTATGAGCACGTGGGAAGCGTGTGTATGTGGTTTTTTTTTTGTTATTTTAGGGGGTGATGAGGCAGAGTTTCACTATACTAGACAATGATATTATTACAAATACAAGGGCTCTTCTACCTCAGTGACAGCAGATGCTAGTTAGGGATAATTTTTTTGCGTTCTTTCAGCGCCCCCCCCCCCCTCCCTCCCTTCCTGAACCATACCAGGCCACATGCTGTCAACATGGGGGAGGGGCTTTGGGGTAAGCGGAGCTCACCCCCAAAGCACCTTGTCCCCATGTTGATGGGGACAAGGGCCTCTTCCCTACAACCCTGGGCTGTGGTTGTGGGTCTGTGGGCGGGGGGCTTATCAGAATCTGGAAGCCCTCTTTAGCAAGGGGGCCCCCAGATCCTGCCCCCCATGTGAATGCATATGGGGTACATGGTACCGCTACCCATTCACAAAAAAAGCTGTAGTGTGAAAAAAGACAGGACACATTCTTTGACAAGTTCTTTATTAAAAGAAGGAAAATAAAAGAATGTCCCCCGAAGTAGATCCAACGTCAATCACAATGCCAGCCGCTCCAAAAAAAAAACAAAAAAAAAAACCAAAAAAAAAAAAAAGCTCCGCTTCCGACACTGGCTCCCGGCTTCTGCCTCTGAGCTGGTGTGATAGTTCTTAAATATGTAAGGGGCGGGGCCACCCTGTGACATCACCCATGTGACCCTGCTCCGTGTGACATCAGCTGGGGCATGCTGGTCACTGATGTCACACGGGGTCAGGGTCACATGCATGATGGCCCCGCCCCTTACAAATTTAAGAACTGTCAAACCAGCTCAGAGGCAGATGGCCGGAGGCCAGCGTCGGTAGCCGAGCCTTTTTTTTTTTCACAGCAGCGGTGACGGCGGGCATCGTGATTTATGTTGGATCTACTTCAGGGTACATTCTTTTATTTTCCTTCTTTTAATAAAGGACTTGTTAAAGAATGTCTCCTGCCTTTTTTCAAACTACAGTTTTTTTTTTGTGAATGGGTAGTAGTACCATGTATCCCATACTCATTCACGTGGGGGGGGGGGGCTGGGATCTGGGGACCCCTTGCTAAAGGGGGCTTCCAGATTCCGATAAGCCCCCTGCCCGCAAGCCCCCATCAACATGGGGACAAGGTGCTTTGGGGAGGAGCCCCCTCCGCCCCAAAGCACCCCCCCATGTTGAGGGTATGCGGCCTGGTATGGTTTGGGGGGGCGCTCGCTGACCTGCTGGGCTGCATGCTTGGATAAGGGTCTGGTATGGATTTCGGGGGGGACCCCCATGCCATTTTATTTTTTTATTTTGGGCGTGGGGCTTCCCCTCAAAATCCATACCAGACCCAAAGGGCTTGGTATGGATGGGAGTGGGGGACCCCACGCCGTTTTTTTATTATTTTTTAATTTCCGGCAATTCTTTCTTTTACATTCATTCTGCTATCAGTGGGGAATCCCGCTGATTGCTGAAATATTTCCGCATGGTTTTCACTGCTAAAATACCGCATGACTTGATAAAATAACTCATGCAATATTTTAGTAGTCTTTTTTAGTGAGTTTACTATTTTTCAGTGCATTCTGGGCGTTTGGGAGGGTCTCCTGAGGTTATCTTTTAAAAATGCTTCTAAACGCAAACGTGCATAAACGCGGTAGGTAAACGCGGTAAACTGACGTTTTTAACCTGTTTTCTAGCAGTCAGTTTCTAGCGTTCAGAAGAGTTTTTCAAACGCCCTGTGTACATGAGCCCTTAGATTAAACAGTGATGCTCAAAATCAGGCATCAGATCTTTGAAATCAATGAATAATGCACAGAGACATAACAAAATAAGTGGCAATCCTTCAGTGGCCCCAGAGGGGGCATTTTGGCCACTGAAGGATTGCCACTTATTTTGTTATGTCTCTGTGCATTATTCATTGATTTCAAAGATCTGATGCATGATTTTGAGCATCACTGTACTTGCCTGATTGTGCCAAGTGTAAAGTTTGGTGAAGTGGGGATTATGGCGTGGGGTTGTTTTTCAGGGGTTGGACTTGTTGAAGGGAACTCTTAAGGCACGAGCATACCAAGACATTTTGGACAATTTTATGCTCCCAATGGTCAAACATTCCCATAGACACATTCCTAAACCGTGTGGACAGCCTTCCAAGAAGATGTGAAGCTGTTGTAGCTACAAAGGGTGTGCCAACTCAGTAATGAACCCTAAGACTGGGATGCCATTAAAGTTCATGTGCGTGTAAAGGCAGGCGTCCCAAAACTTTTGGCAATATAGTGTATATTTGAAAATTGATCAGTTGAGACCCTGAAATGTCGGACACTGGAATGACATATGGCAGTGATCTGGACGCTGGTATGGCAGTGATCAGGATGCTGGTATGGGGTATGGCGGTGATCAGGACATTGGTATGGGGTATGGTGGTGATCAGAACGCTGGTATGGGGTATGGCAGTGATCAAAACACTGGCATGGAGTATGGTGCTGATGAGGACACTGATTTATGGGGTAATGCTGGTATGGCATATGAGGTGATTAGGATGCTGGTATGGTGTATGGCCGTGATCAGGATACTGGTATGGTGTATGGCGGTGATCAGGGCACTGGTGCGGGGTATGGCGGTGATCAGGATGCTGGTATGGGGTATGGCAGTGATCAGGATGCTGGTATGACATATGGAG